AGAAAATTATTAGCCCTCATTGTGCGAGACTAACGGACAGCAATTTATTTTTATATAAAGAGACTAGCGACTCGCCTCGGATTTGCTTGGGTAAGATTATTAGTTATTTAGATTTAAGATTTATTATCAATTTATCATATTTTTTTTTAAATTTAACATTGAGTTATATGTGCTACGTACTAGAGAAGCCATTCCAAACAAAAATTGTGTCCTACTCTGTCTTCGCGCATGCGCGGGAGTAGTAGTCGCTAGGGTAGTAATAGACTTTAATTTGATATAAAATAAGATATTAATATAAAATAAATATAAGAATTTAATATAAAATATCTTATTTTAATGTAAACAAACATATTTCTAAATAAAATGTAATAATAATTATCTTATGGAATTCACAAATCTTCAATTTACGCAATATTTAGTTTGTATGGATTGCAATACAGTTCAGTTGAACATAGTCAATGTTCGGAATGCGAAATCTAGTGCGTAGTACGTATGTATATCAATGAAATTCAAGTTTTTCGGATAAAATATAACCTACATCCTTCCCGACATTTCTCTTTATCTGTTCGTAAAGTCTCATTACAATCGATTCAGCCGTTCCGAAAATTAGCTTGAACATACAAACAAACAAAATTTTTAAAAATGGTTATTCGTGTCTTAATGCCATCCTAATAACCCTCTCAGCTCATTAAAATTCAGTTTTTTCGATATTAGAGACAGACACTTGAATTTATTTATATGTATAGATTGGGTTTTATAAAGCACTTTTTTTAATCTTTATTGATTATAGAGGGTTTGATCCACTAGATCATGTCACCCTCATAGGTACACAATCAAATACACATAATCAGACAATAATAAATTCACGTAAACACAAATAAAAAATTATCTGTTCTTAATAATTACCAATGCTAATTTATAAAGTTTTCTAGCCTTATCCGACAATGGAAAAGCTGAGATACTATTGTACAATCCAACACTATTTTTGTCAAAACCTAATAGATTTCTATAGGATTCATTCCGTTAATATTCCATCAAAGCACTTTTTGAAAGTCAAAAGCGGCCATCTTTTCAAAAAGTTCCTACTGCGGGGAGACCTTCTGAGAAGTGGCAAGAAACTGACAAGTAGAAGTTTTCCCAATCACAAAGTAATAAGTAATAAATAGGTCACCGTTTAAAAAAATATGAACATAAATAATAAAGAGTAAGAAAACTCATAATACCGACGCATTCTTATTTTTTAAATCTTCATGTAATCTATACAAATAAATAAAATTGAAGTGTCTGTTTGTAATGTCAAAATAACAGCTTTTTACTAATTGCATTTAAAGGTATATACGGTACCTACAACAAAAACACAAATTTTAAAATTTTTGTCAGTGTGTCTGTCCGTCTGTTTGTTCCGGCTAATCTCCGAAACGGCTATACCGATTTTGACGGGACTTTAGTGAAAGTTATAACACCAGCTATCTACCAGGGTGTTATAAGGAGTAACTTAGGCTACTTATATTTTAGAAAAATAAATAGGGTTCCGCACAACAAAATTAAAACCCTAAATTATTACACGCGGGCGAAGCCTCGGGGAATAGCTAGTTGCATGCGGTTTGAATTTATGCAAAGGAAAATTAGTGATGTTACAGAGAATCTTGTAATAAATGGTTATACATCATTATCATCATTACAGCCCTTCGGAAGTACATTACTGAACATAAGCCTCCACCAAGGAATACCATAAAGTACGGTCCTGAGCTACCTGTATTCATCTACTTCCTTCACATCTCACCGGGTCTCCATCTTAGTTAGTACCTTTAGCTTACCGTACGAGGTTGCCACTTGAGAACCTTTCTTCCCCATTGAGCTGTATAGTTAGCCCATTGCCACGTAATCTTTCTAAACAGTTAACATCCATATTACAAAATCTATCACGCAGAGAGGTACCGAGCAATAGCTGGCAGGGCGGTTGAACTTCTTCATACTGCCAGCAGGGAAGGACCATATCTCTCATACTTGCATCAACATTATTTAATAACCTTTTATTATAATTAAACTTTAATAAACTTAAATCCAAAACAAAGTACTGTTTAATTTATACAAATTTACAGCAAACAATTAGCTAAAATTAAAATTAGCTCCGCATAAATAAACGTCAGGGGTAAAAAATTAGCCTTGTACCGTAACCAACGGACTTTGAGCACGCAATCTAAAAATATTGCTTTTAATTTCGTTATGTTAATGGTAGAAGGTAAAACTAAATCTTATGTAACTCCAAGTTGAAAATAAAAATGATTGCGTGTAATCATTACATCCCGTGTAGTGACGGTGTAAGGACATCCACTACTCTATATCGTACCGTGTGCAAAAAGGCGACAGAGGAAAATTGAAACAGGTGATGAACAACATCATCTTCCTGAAAATAACTCAAAATAATTTTAAAAAAATAGTGCGGTTGACTGTGGCAAAATGCTCCTTGTAAGTCAATCTATAAGGGAGGTCAATATTCAGCAGTGGACTTAAATGGCTGTAATGTATGGATGTATAGAAAATAATCTACCAGGAGCACATGACCCGCTGGGAGGTAAAATTAAAACTACGGCAAATATCACCCCCATAAGGCAATCTGTAGGGGAGGGTTACGTTCAGCAGTGGACTTTAATAGGCTTTAATGGATGGATGTATAGAAGATATTTTACCAGGAGCACATGACCCACTGAGAGGTGAAATTATTAAATCGACAGTAATATTAAAACTATGGTAAATATCCCCCCTATAAGGCAATCTATAGGGGAGGGCTATGTTCGGCAGTGGACTATAATAGGCTGTAATGTATGGATGTATAGAAGATCATCTACCAGGAGCACATGACCCACTGAGAGGTAAAATTATTAAATCAGGAGCACATGACCCTCCGAGAGGTGAAATTATTAAATCAACAGTAATATTAAAACTATGGCAAATATCCCCCCTATAAGGCAATCTATAGGGGAAGCCTATGTTCAGCAGTGGACTTTTATAGGCTTTAATGGATGGATGGATGGTAATCATTACAAGCGTTGTTGTAAAATTTATTAACATACATTTTTAATTCATTGAAAGCAGCATATCAGTCTACTGCTGAACATAAACCTCCCACATAAATTACCACAACATTTTTTTGTTTGCAAAATTACCACGAAGGGCGTGCGCAACCATAGCTTTTTATTACTTCAATCTGATATCGGGAAGATGCTGCTACTATTCTCCATTTTAATTTCCTTCTGTTCCTCTTACGACATCCACGGGATGATATTGGGCTACCCAGTGTATCTTAAGATGAACATGGACAAGATAAAGCCATGTGTAAAAAAAGAAAAAAAACCTTTGTCTTGGGAAAAACCCCAGCGGAGCTTTTAACCCGCCCCGTTGGTTTAAAAGCTTCGCTGGGGTTTGCACACATATGGGTGACATGAAACTGAGACGTGGTCTCTTACTGGTCGATTTTTAACTTGTTTAGCTCTCTTTTGCATTGAAATTTAGGCTTGGGACGAAAAAAAGCGAACGAAGAAGGTAGCCCTATTTCGTAAAGTTTCAAAGCATAAACTCATTTAATTTTATAGTTTTCTATCAGGTTGTAGGAAGTCAACTTGGTTAACACTTTTACTCTGATAAAAATGTTAGCCAAGTTGACTTTTCCTAATTCCTTTAAATTTAATCGCCTAGTAGAACATTTATCTGAATAAAATAACGCTGACTTCACTTTGCGATTCGATGTAACAAAAGTCTCATAAAAACAGAATGAAAGCTCTTTAACTATTAGTCAGTGCTTGCCTGCTAATTATACAGTGCACTAACTTCCTGCAATGGATGACTTTCGTCTAATTTGCCATACTTGCTACGTCTGGCAGAAGGACCTGCAAACGCAGTATCAGAACACTGGGCCCTGGCTTCTAGGCTCGCTGTGCTGACGGGATTTCACCGGCATTTCTTGATAACCATGCAATATTTTTGTAATTTTCCTTAGTCTTCTTATACGATACCTATGAGGTGTATGGCACACCGCTTGCAACTTCACAAGGCAAAGGTTCGTCCCCACATGGAATACTACTCCCATCTCTGGGCAGGGGCTCCCCGTTGCCAACTCCTTTTACTTGACCGCATCCAGCGGGGAGTGGTTCGAATCGTCGACGACCGAGTTCTTTCCGATCGGCTTGCCTCATAGGCACTGCGTAGAGATGTGGCATTTCTTTGCATATTTTATCACATCTACCACGGGGAGTGCTCTGATGAATTGTTCGAACTAATTCCACCTGCTCAATTTCACCATCGCACATCGCGACAAAACTCGCGATAACATCCATACCACCTGGATGAATGGCGGGCCACCACTGTGCGATTTAGAAGAATTTTTCTTCCTCGCACAACTTCCTTGTGGAATTGATTACCACCAGCGATTTTTCCGGACCAATACGACTTAGGGACCTTCAAGAAAAGAGCCTACTTCTTTTTAAAAGGCCGGCAACGCATCTGCAATTCCCCTGGTGTTGCAGTTGTTCATGGAAGGCGGTAGTCACTTACCATCAGGTGAGCCGCATTCTTGTTTGCCCCCTCTTCTATAAAAAAATACGTGGTAGAGCCATGCTGCAGCGTAAAGTATACCATGGTTACAAAATACCAGCGTAAAATAACAGTTGAATGCCGCTGTGGTTTGTATTGTGAGCTTAGAGAATCGGAGACCCATTTTACTGGAAACGGGGCATTCCCTCTTAACCCTCACGAGTGACAACGCATCTGCATTTTGATTCGTAATCGAGGATAGATGTTGATATCTATGGACCACAGCAACCACTTACCATCAGGTGGACTGTGTGCTCGTTTGTTACCGTTATCCTATAAGGAAAAGATGGACCCATCTATCGAAAGCCACAATATCTTGTACGTTTCTAAGTGCCTCTAAATGTACTCACGGAATGAGATAGGAGAAAGATCACAGTACTGTTACTGACTATGTTTTCATTTCTTTATAGACACAACCATGGAAAGGAACACATTGATGGCCAAGTGCTACCCGCGGATCAAGGACTACTGTCGAGAGAAACATGGCTTGGAGTTTCAGGTGCGTTTCAATTTTGTTAGTTTTTTGTTATTTTCCATTGTTGTTTTTCACTGGATTCAATCTAGATTGAAGCAAATGAAGTTTCTAATATGCCAGTGTGTTGTCAATCCCATATATCAGCGTAAGAATGCAGCTTACTGCTGCTGTATTTTGTATGGTTAGTGTAGAGAACCGGAGACCTTTTCTACTGAAAAAGAGGCATTCTATCCTCACGGCTGACAACGCATCTGTATTTTAATTCGCAAACGAAGATAGATCTAGATGTCTATGGGCCACAGCAACCACTTATCATCAGGGGGACTGTGTGCTCTTTTGTCACCCTTATTCTATTAAAAAATCCTGCGGTTATGCAATTAAGAAAATTGTAAAACCTGCAAGTTGGGAGTACGCCGATTCTGCGAGCATCTAGTCGATGCATTGCGCCTTGACACTGTTAGCTAGATAGCTATTAAAAGCAGGCTGGGCACGTTCCCTAACCCTGAGGGATGTGTGTGAGTGAGGTAAAAACCAATCACTACAGAATATTTGCCAATCATTCCACGTTTGGGTTTGCTTGATTTGGAAAAGACTTCACTCATACAATATCTTCGTCTCCATCTTCATTAGTCTTTGAAAATTTACTGCTGGATATGGACACATTGCGTCAGAATTCACAATACAATGCTCACCATCTGGATGCTTGGCGGTTCACGACTGTGCATTTTACTAGGAGTTTTCTTCCTCGTACAACTTTTCTGTGGAATTGATTACCACCGGCGATTTTTCTGGACCGATACGACTTAGAGACCTTCAAGAAACGAGCTTACACCTTCCTAAAAGGCCGGCAACGCATCTGCAATTCCCCTGGTGTTGCGGTTGTTCATAGAGGACGGTAGCGGTAGTCACTTACCATCAGGTGAGCCGCATGCTCGTTTGCCACCTCTTGTATAAAAAAACTTCTCCAGCTGTAGGAATAATTTGTCTTCATTGTCATGTCAGGCAGGCGAATTAACGAACGCAGTACCAGACGTCTCGTAACTTCAATGTTGGAAGTTGCTAGTAGTTTTACGTCTAGCGTAAGCGGGATGTTTATATCGCCAAGTGGATACTGTGGCCCATAAACAGCTTATAAGTGGCTTCTCTTCTGCTCTTCATCTTAAAAAAATTTATCATCTTCATCTTAAAAAAAGACAATATTCAAAAACTGAAGGTAGCCAGGCTAACTGTGACATCGGGACGTCAAACATCTGAGTCCCCCCCCCCCCCCCCGTGACCATGGGTTGCCGTAAAGCACTCGAAAAGTTGGGAATTAAAATAAGTACATTAACCTCGATAAAATCCGTAAAACTAGTTTTATTCAATGTGTAGTGTTCGCGTAAATATAAGAAATCATTTATAAATTGCTTGTCAACCCTAAGGACAGAAATGGAATGCTTCGTTCTCGTTTCCAGTAAAAAGCGTCTCCGTTCTTTTCACTCTCACAACCAGTTCAAAAAAAATAATTTTCAATAACCTCTGTAATTTATTTTTTAGATTATGCTAGTCTAATTGTGTTTCGAATTGTGTGTAGAAAGCCAGACATCTTCTTTACTGAAAACGAGGCATTCCATCTTAGTCCTTACGGGTGACAACGCATCTGCATTTTGATTCTTAATCGAGTATAAACATACTTACCATCAGGTGGACTGTGTGCTCGTTTGTCACTCTCATTCTATAAAAAAAATGAAACGTTGCTTCAATATGACAATTCACAAATTCTAGTTTGTTATTTTATATTTATCAGTCTCTCTTCATGGCTCCATCACGAATGAGTCTGAACGACCGGAGAAGGACCACGCAAAGAATACCAGCGGGAAAAGGAAACATATTTCTGTTTCTTGTTCTTTCCTATGGTGAGAGATGAAAACCGGGGACTATTATAATGGCTTGGACGATTTTACTGATTTGTACATGGAAGAATCATGCTGCAGCTATTATAAAGTTTAGCACGAATGGGTCGGCTCTACCCGGGCAGGGCCACTTATGAAAAAATACGTGGTGGAGCCATGCTGCAGCTATATTAGTGGTATAGTTGTAGCACGAATGGGTCGGCTCGGCCAGGGAAGGACTACGCTTTCACAGAATACCAGCGTAAAATAGCAGCTGAATGCCGCTGTGTTTCATATGGTGAATGTAGAGAAACAGAGACCCTTTTTACTGGAAACGCGGCGTTCTATTTTACTCCTCAGGGGTAACAACGCATCTGTATTTTGATACTTAATCGAGGATAGATGTAGATACAGATGGCATACAGCGTCAAATCACAATGTAGACTGTGTACTCCTTTATTATCTCTACTCATTTAAAAAAATGCTATTGTTATTCAACTAGTTTGCTAAATAACATGATCCCGATAAATATTAAATTTCCTCAACTTACTAAGCGTCGTCGCTGCTTTGTTTATCCCTACATTGTTCAAAGTTCCTCCGGGATTATCTGAACTTTGTTGTTGGTTTATTTAGCGGTTAACGTTGTCAATTCTTACAGCTTTGTAGAGATATTCGGGATTAGTGACGTAACTATCTATTATTGTTTATCATTGATAACGGAAAATAGTTCGTTACGAGTAGCTAGACAGCTTAAGGTAAGTTAGATAGAAAAATCCAGTAAACTTGGACATAAATATTGATTTTAAATAGGATTCGAATGTATGACGTAACACAGCAGTAATTATATTTTATCGTTAAATCGATACTCAATTATCACTCCCATAATCGATCCAGGCATTTTATAATAACATATTATATTTCTTTATCGGTGATCATTGTGGTAACAAACAAGCACACTGATCGCCTGATGGTAAGTGGATACTATGGACCATAGAATCCTAAGTACGTAATATCTTTAAAGAATCAAAATACAGATACGCTATCACCTCTCAGGGCTTTTCAGTAAAAATTGTTTACGGTCCTCTACATTCACCATATGAAACAGCTGCATTAGGCTGCTAATTTACGCTGGTGAGAGCACGAACCTTCTCCGGTCGAGTCAAACCTTAGTGCTGCGGTCATAATATTTTTTTTTAATTTCTTAATATCAAAACTAGAACTGGATGTGATTAAATATTAATAGATTCATTTCCGCAACTTTTATCCAGAGGATTCATTGAAAGTAAGACAATCGATTCCCCGAATTTGTCCCCGGTAACGACGTCGTTTTTTAAGACCGCTTTACGTGTTTCCACGAAAAAATGTCTTTGAAAAACCATAAGATTATACTTTAAAACGAATCGAGGAATAGAAATAAAAGGAAATAACGTCTTGATGCCGCAGCTGTGAATTTGGCTGCGGCACTGCAAAGACGCGGGCTTAAATACCATTCCTGATGCCGTAATCCATGTGGGTACAAATCCCGCACAGATTTTTTTTAAATGTAAGAGGGGGCACACGAGCATGCGGCACACTTGATATTAACTTTTTTTTAAATTTATTCATAGAAAGAGTGTTACATTATTTATATTTCAAACTTTGCCAAACTGTATGCCAGTTTGTCGGCAAACTGACAACCGCTGCCCTTGAACAACTACTATTTGGAGAATTGCAGATGCGTTGCTGGCCTTTTAAAAAAGAGTAGGGTCTTTTCTTGAAGATCCCTAAGTTGTCATCATCATCATCATCATTACAGCCCTTCACAAGTCCACTGCTGAACATAGGCCTCCCCCAAAGAATGCCACAAAGCACGGTCCTGAGCCACCTGCATCCATCGACTTCCTGCATGTCTTACCAGGTCGTCACTCCATCTCGTGGGGGGACGCCCTACACTTCGCCTACCGGTACGAGGCTGCCACTCGAGAACCTTTCTTCCCCATCGGTTGTCGGTTCTTCGAGCTATATGGCCGGCCCACTGCCACTTCAGCTTACTAATCCGTTGGGCTATGTCGGTTACTCTGGTTCTACTGCGGATATCCTCATTCCTAAGTTTATCACGCAGAGAAACTCCGAGCAAAGCCCTCTCCATAGCTCGCTGAGCGACCTTGAGCTTTCTCATACGGCCAGCAGTGAAGGACCACGTCTCAGTTCCATAAGTCATCACTGGCAACACGCACTGGTTGTACAATTTCGTTTTCAGGTTTTGAGGTATGTCTGACGAGAAGATGTGTCGTAGCTTCCCGAACGCTGCCCAGCCGAGTTGAATCCGTCGATTGACCTCTCGATCGAAGTTGGACTTACCTAGTCGGACTATTTGTCCCATGTAAACATACTCGTCAACAACTTCGAGCTTAGTGATCCCAACAACTACCGGCATAGGTGTGACATGGACATTGAACATGATCTTTGTTTTGTCCATGTTCATCTTAAGACCTATCCTTTGGGAAACACTATCGAGGTCATTGAGCATAGTGCTTAGGTCCTCCAGCGATTCTGCCATAAGGACTATATCGTCGGCAAATCGAAGGTGAGTGATGTACTCGCCATTGATGTTGATACCGTATCCTTTCCAGTCCAGAAGCTTGAAAACGTCTTCCAATGCAGCGGTGAAGAGTTTCGGGGATATGACGTCACCCTGTCTTACACCTCTCTGCAATTGGATAGGTTTCGTACTCTGGTTCTGTACTCGGATAGCCATCGTAGCCCTACTGTACAAGCACTTCAACACTTCGATATACCGACAGTCAACTTGGCACCGCTGAAGGGACTGCAGCACCGCCCAAATTTCGACGGAATCAAAGGCTTTCTCATAGTCCACATACGCCAGACATAGTGGCAAATTGTACTCTTCGGACTTCTGTACAATTTGCCGAAGGGTATGTATGTGGTCTATGGTGCTAAAGCCTTTTCGGAAACCGGCTTGTTCGGGAGGCTGGAAGTCGTCAAGTCTGCGCGCGAGACGATTCGTAATGACTCTCGAAAACAGCACGTAGACGCGGCTCAGAAGGGAAATCGGTCTGTAGTTCTTCAAGAGAGCGTTGTCACCTTTCTTGTAGAACAAGACCACCGCACTTCTGCTCCACGCCTCCGGTGTAATGCTACCATGGAGGACGG